CTGAGTGAGATCAGTCTTATAATCTTAGCTGGGAGCTGGGTGCTTAAAAAGACAAACTGACTTAGCCAGAGTCACCCAGATAAACAGTGGTAGGAGACTGGCATACCTAGTTCCAAACTCTCCAAAAAGTATATCAAAAAGTTGATATTGGTAACCCACAAAGTTTCCACATTTGATTTCAAAATAACAACCAGACATTAAGTAGGAGAGAGGGTTAGAAGATTAAACAGCAAGTGGAAATCTTACGAAGAATCAAACGGGAGCCATGTCACCCCATGGCTCCCTCTTTTCAATACACATTGCTGACTATATTCTACAAAAGACCTGAGACACCAGGGCTTTAAAAATATTTCAATGGAAATAATCATCTTTGCAAACGAGCTCCTCCTACAAAACTGCAGATTCAAGGAATCCTGGAAAAAATGTAATGCAGCCCCCATCCCCCCCAAAATATTAGAAATTATTTGTTTACATTTGAAACTAATGTTTTAAGCCAGTGGCAACCAAGCTGAAGAAGCAACCTTGAAAGTCAAGGGTTTCATTACTTCTGATGTACACCAAATATTTTCGTAGTCATACTCAAAAGTATAAGCCCACAATAAGCATAAACAAATACAAAAACTATCATCATGGGAGAGATTGGGGGGAGAAACTTTTGAATAAACATACAAGAAAAGGTTCTAAGTGGTTACAAATAACACAATCAATGAGCAATGCAAAAGTCATCCACAGCAATCACAATTTAAGTATGACCTAAAAGTGTTCAGATAATCTTCTTTCAACGTACCTTGTAAAGAGATATTGTCTTTAATAAGACAACAATTAAAAAGATTTTACTGAGGGGGGGGTGGAGCTGACACCAAGGGCTCAAATAGAGTATGTTTCGGAAACAATGGCAGCATATCGACAAATGTGCTTGACACAATGGATGGATGAATGGATTGTTATTGTAAGAGCTTTATGACACTACATCACTCACTGACCTATAGCCCCATAGTGGACAACACTGTAGACACAGTGCGGGAATTGCGCCTGATCTGACCACACCACACCGAGGCAAACCACTAAGGGCATGCAAGAAAACAGCAAGGGGAGCAGAGCAAGGAAGTCCCGAACGAATACCAAAAACAGATTTTGGCACCCCATCAGATTTGAGCAGAAAACACTCCTAAAGGTCAACAAACAGACCTTGAACTATTTAATGCTTTTCTCTTTTTGGTCATTGTTGTTGTTGTTTAGTTTTCTTTTGTTGCTTTGTTTGCTGTGTCTTATTTTTGTGTATACATATTATTATCTCTGCAGGTCTATCTAGATAAGATAGGTGGGATACACAATCTGGAGGAGAAAATAATGGGACTGACAGTTCCGGTTCTGGAGGAACATGGGAGAAGGGGAATCAGGAAAGGATGAGGGTGTTAACCAATCCAGGGATAAGGGAACAACAAGTGATACAAAACTGATGGCAAGGAGGGTGTAGGAGGCCTGGTAGGGCTTAATCAAGGGCAATGTTTAACAGAGGAATTACTGAAACCCAAATGAAGGCTGAGCATAATAATGGGACAAGAACAAAGTAAAAGGAAATAGAGGAAAGAACTTGGAGGCAAAGGGCATTTACAGAGGTCTAATACAGGCATGTATATATGTAAATATATTTATATAAGACGATGGGGAAATAGATCTATGTGCATATATTTACAGGTTTAGTATTAAGGTAGCAGATGGACATTGGGCCTCCATTCAAGTACTCCCTCAATGCAAGAATACTTTGTTTCATTAAACTGGCATTCCATGATGCTCACCTTCCTGACGTGATTGCTGAAGACAAAGCAGGTGCATAAACAAATGTGGTGAACAAAGTTGATGGTGCCCGACTAGCAAAAGATACATCTGGGGTCTCAAAGGCTTGAAGATAAACAATTGGCCATCTAGCAGAGAAGCAACAAAGCCCACATGGAAGAAGTACACCAACCTGTGTGATCACAAGGTGTCGAAGGGATCAGGTATCAGGTATCAAAGAACAACAACAAAAAAATCACATCATTGTGAATGAGGGGGAGTGCGGCAGATGGGGCATCCCAAAGCCCATCTGTAGGCAACTGGACATTCCCTTGCAGAAGGGTGGTGGGGAGATGAGCCAGTCAGGGTGCAGTGTAGCAACAATGAAACATACAACTTTCCTCTAGTTCCTAAATGCTTCCTCTCCCCCCACCCCATTATCATGATCCCAATTCTACCTTACAAATCCAGCTACACCAGAACATTTACACTGGTACATTTAAGAACTGGAAACAAGGAAGCCAGGACAGATAAACCTCTCAGGACCAATAATGAGAGTAGCGATACCAGGAGAGTAAAGAGAAGGTGGGGTAGAAAGAGGGAACAGATAACAAGGATCTACGTATAACCCCCTCCCTGGGGAACGGGAAACAAAGTGGGTGAAGGGGGACATCGGACAGTATAAGACATGACAAAGTAATAATAATTTATAAATTATCAAGGGTTCGTGAGGAAGGGTGGGGGGGAGGGGAAAAAATGAGCTGATACCAAGGGTTCAAGTAGAAAGCAAATGTTTTGAGAATGATGATGGCAACAAATGCACAAATGTACTTGACAACAATGAATGGATGGATGGATGGATGGATGGATGGATGGATGGATGGATGGTGATAAGAGTTGTACAAGCCCCAATATAATGATTAATAAATTTTAAAAGATTTTAATAAAGAAAATGTCTAGAAAATGATGGCAACATAAGTACAAATGTGCTTGATACAATTGATGTGTGGATTATTACAAGAGCTCTAAGAGCCCTCAATAAAATGTTTAAAAGTATATGTATATTTCACTCTTAAATAACCACACATCACATACACAAAGGGAATCTAGGGGCCCTCTCTCCCAAAACCAACTGAATGTGGAAGACCACTGCTTTTTTTTTTAAGGGGAAGGACAGGGAGAGAGGGGGGACATCTGTCCCAAATTCTAACCCCTTTAAGGTCAAACCTTTAATATTTAATCCTATTCCTATTCTGAAACTATTACAGACTCAGAATTTCAGTGCTCAAACT